GTCCTAGCAAAATAAACTGAAGAATCATTGAACCGATGGGGTGCCTAAGGGAAAAATAGTGAAACGAGCAATTATTTTGTGTTTAGTCTAACGTGTTTTTTGATTTTATTTATTCAATGCAGTACAATGACATTGTCCGGGCAGCATATAATAAGTTGAGTGAGGAAGAAATGAGGAAGCGAAAGGAGGAATATTTGAAAGAGAAAGAAGAGTATGAGAAAGAAATGGAACGTCTAGGAAAGCCGATATTGCGAAAAACACGGGTTCAAATCAAGGTAAATACACGGCATGATTCATCAAACATTTAATGAAACTTATATTAGTCTAATGCATATATCTAAAAAATGGTGTAGAATCAGAAGTACACTATCCGATGCTCGCCAAAGCAGATGTCAAGTTTAGTTTCACGAATCGATGAAACTAAGAAGCAGCAGATTAGAGACATAGGATTTGGAGGGCTGCTAGACATACAGTGTCACTGGATTCCTAGTGGCATAGCTACCTGGCTTGTTGACAACTTTAATCCGACATTGAGCAGTTTAAATGTTGGTGGAGATGGTGTGCTACCTTTAACGTCAAAGGATATCAGTTTAATCCTGGGGATCCCGAACGAAGGTCCCGTTCCAGTTGAAGACACCGATACAACCGAGGTTGGGGGAAGTGGACCAAGTCGTAGGACATACAAATGGAATGAGCTCCCAAATGAGTTGGTAGCCATGAATGCAGGGGAAGAATTCTTAAGACTATTCGTGGCATTTTGTTGTGGATGTCTACTGGCTCCAACCACTAGAGCCGAGCACAAAATAAAGGTTTGGAACTGTACGCAATTGGTTGATAGGGTAGCCAGATTGAACTGGGCTGAGTATGTGAGGATCGTACTATGCAATAAGGTGCTAGAGGTGCAAAAGAAAAGTGAAAAGCAGCACCAATACGTTGGCGGTTGTATCTTCGTTCTGCTGGTAAGATTAGATAGTTGTAGTCATGACGAAAATATGCTCTAATTGTTACACAGTGCACCAGAGAGTCAATTAGTTTTGCGAGCCTTCATAACTACTGTCTGTATTTCCACATTTTATCAAATTCAGTGCGATGGATTGATTAGATTATGCTCAAATGAATGCGTCTACGATGATGTTTTAACAGTGTGGTCAAGTTTATCTACAGTTGAATTAATTACTGTATTGTATTGCAGATTCATTATCTTGATCGGGTACAAATACTGAAGCATAAAGTGTCGAGGACTACTCCGCGAGCTAAGGCATGGACAGATGCTCTGATCTCTGAAAGGGATGCACTTGAGATTAAAAATCTTGGAGCTTATGGAAAAGGAAAACTGGTAAAATGTTATATATTATTGATCTCATTTCATATAAAAGGTAGTGGTCTATGTATTGCGCGGCTTTTCTATTGAAATGGTTGGTTTAATTTGTTGTTAAAGATTGGACAATATGATCCGGAAGATAATGAATATGATGGGCAGAGTACTGAACTACCCCCTGATTTGGTAGGAATGCTGATGAACAGCGGGCACGCCGATATCGGTGTAAGTGGGTCTGTTCCATGATTTAATGAAATTTGTTGTTTGATTAGACGTAATTACTGCATATTGTAAGCAACGTTATTGGTTATTGATAGGCCTATCAACTTCATTCATGTTGTAGTATCATGTTAATATGTGATACCAATCCCAATATTACATCCCTGTCTAGAGAGTTATTAAAAATTAAGTCACATGAATGGAAATACAGAAATATAGTGATCTCTTGGCCAATCATGTTATAAATGTATGAAGTTTCAATGATCCCGGGTGACCATTTTATTTTTTAGTATATAAGTTACAGTTATAGAACCTATGGCCGCAATTCAAATGTTAAATTAAGAACCTTTGCGTAAATGTACTATTGTATATGCCTGTATTGTATGAAATTGTTGAGAGCATGTGGCTCATTTATGGATTGATAATTTCATCATCTAACTGCAGGCTGAGCTAAATGAGCTGTATAACATTGCTGTTAGTAGCCAACGAAGGATATTGAAGATTGCAGAAATCCTCTCCTCTCAGCCGAGAGCAAAAGCTTCCACTTCTGGGACTGAAGCATTGGACAAAGGAAAAAAACCTGTACAGGAGGACTATACAATGCACAAGAGTCCTGATACCGAAGAAGAGCCGGAATTTCAATCTGCCGAAGAAGGGGCAGACGACGAGGATGATGATGCTGAAGAAATTGATGCGGAAGGGTCTGATGAAGACGAGTATAATGCAGCGCAAGCCGAGAAAGACGATGCCAATACGAGGACAAATATTGAAGGTATCCAAGATCCAGAGCTGAATGAAGATGTAATGGACATGGAGAATCCAATTCCTACCTCTTCAGTCGTACCCGATAACAGCAGTCGCGGATTGGAACAAGGGACCACCATGACAACAACTGCGCAAGGAAGCATTATACAGCTTCAAGAGCAAGAGCAGGAGCAATACAGGTCAAACGTCATAGAACCTGCCGAAGAGGGTCAATGTACGGTGCAACCACCTTTGCACGCCAGTGCATCGACGTCACATCTGCTTGAGCAAGAAATGCCACGAAAGTTGCGATCATATGGTCGAAAGCGGAAAGGTTGGTATACTGTTATTATTCATAAGGTTGTAATTCATGTACTATGACTGTAACATCTATTATCATATACGGTAACTTTGTTTATACCATCATGATGCTACGTACACGGGTCTGAACTCTGGCTTGTCATCATCGAAAACTTGTTAAGCATACTGTCATACCCTGTCCGATATGAAACACATATGAAGTTGATGTAACAAACGTTATTAGGCATATTATGAAAGTATGACTTTATTGATGTTAAGAAGTTAGTGTGTTTCGAAAAATGTTAGTTACATTGCAGTGGAAAAATGTTACAAAATAGTTATTGAAAAGTTACAGTGTGTTTAAAAATTGTTACCAAAAAATGTGGAAACTTATAGATTAAAAGTTAGTATGTTTGAAGAATGTTTACAGTGTGCTTGAAGTTTGTCACGAAATAGTAACCTGAAAGTTACAGTTTGCTCTATTGAATACACAACTCCATACTCGCGGATCGTTAGTCACGGAATTTATTTTACATTATTGTACAATAGTTACCGGAAAGCTATTTCATAATTAATGCAGGTGATGTAATTGAAGAATTTTAGTTACGAAGTGTTTGTAACTTGTTACATGAGTGATTATTTAGACGAAAGTTGAATGTTATTGGAGACTGTTAGTCATTATAATTAATAGATAAGTTACAGTTTCCAAAATTCACACATAACTCCATATTAAATGATTGCTGTTTAAATGTGTGTTTGTAGGTTGATACTCACTTATTTATTGGTCAAAGTGCATTTCAAAACTCTTAGAAACGGTTAGTTTAGCATACTGTTATGGTGTGATTGAAGTCTGTTACAAATTAGTTATTGAGAAGTTAGTGTGTTTGAAAATTTATCACAACTGTTTGAAAAGTGTTAGTTACAGTGTGTTTGAAGAGTTGTACAAATAGTTCTTAGGACAGTTACATTGCATTTAGTGAATTATCGATTGGTGTTTGATGACTGCTAATTGCATTGTGTCTGAAGAATGAAGCAAAATACCTTATAATTTGTTAGACGACAACAAATGAATGTCATATGAAATGCATGTTATTTGTCTTTTGTAGGAGGCCTTGACGTTGAGGTGAAGCACAAGTCTACACGTGCAACAAAGAAGAGCACTGTTCTGCGGTCAGCAGAGTTCATTCTACCAGCACCTGTGACAGTTAGCCTATACGAAAAAAATGTTGCTGCATATGCATGGGATCTGGACCAAAATCCCAAGTAAGATTCTTGACAAAACTATTAATTCGATCTTGTGATCCATTCACTACAATAAGTACGCGTGTGGTTCATAAGAAGATGGCATAGAAAAATAGATTGAATATGGATGAGATTGGAGTTCATATACATTAGTCAGATTTTCGTGTTTTGGAGTAGGAGTAATAATTATTAGTAAATCGTTTAATTGTGTCCTGGATGTGATAGGGACATACTTGTTCAAATGTATCAATTTTCGCTGACTCGGCTTGACTTGAAGACAATGGAAAATGGCATGCATGTGTCTAATCGGGTCAGTAGTTCATTACTTTTAGTCAAAAAGTTTGATTATGTATCTATTGATTGGAATAGTCATACGTAAACTCACCCAAGCAACACTCAATTATATGTTTTGATCACCATTTGCCATTGATTAGGTGATTGATATGTTTGCCCGTCTCATGAATTGGGGTGGAAGAACTGCCAAAATTAGGAAGCTTGAACGCTACATCGTAGAACCTGTTGCAGTTGTGAGTTTGAAATTTGGATTGCATCCTACAGTTGTGTTAAAGATGCTCATCATCATATCTGAATTGGTATTACGATCCAACACACCATTATTAATGTCTTCTATGCACCTTTCACTCGGCTATGTTATTGGTTGCAGGAAGGAATTTTAAAAATGGGAAAATTCGACAAGCTCTCTGATGCCAGCTTATCTGCTAAGCTTCTAAAGCTCTTCAAGGTTCGCAATAACAATACGGGGGTTGATCCTGCAAATTGTGATTGAGTATGCAATTATCAGTTTTAATCCAAAACTTCTTATGTGACTGTTAAACATTCAAAACATAGTCATACTCGGTTATGTAGAATGACCTGTCTGACCTTTTTCATACCTCATTTGGCGCAGATACTTGTGCCAGTATGCATAGAGGGGTCTTGGTTTGTCTACAGCTTCGGTGTCTCAGAGAAAGAAGTGCACGTGCTAGACCCTGATAGCAGTCAAGCAAAGAGCAAAGACATTAGTGTACTGAATCGACTGGTATGTTGGACAAATTGCTAAATGCATTACACGACATGACAGTGCCACATTAGTGGATTGTAATCAGTTTTACATAATCTTTGGTGATATAGAAACGTTCACTGGGTTTGGTTGTGGCGGCAAAGTTTGGCAAGGAAATTGACTTCTCCAGTTTCGGATTTTCTGTTGCCGATGTCCCTCATCACTCACCCAACAAAGTGTAAATAGTTTGACTTCTCCCGTCATTATTGTTAGAGCGTGTACTAAGTTTTTTGTCCAACATATATACCATAACTGACTAATGAGAAGACAACGTGACCAGGTGTGACAGTGGTGTTTTCGTTATGACATTCCTAGAGCATTGGAGCGGAAGGTTGGCTGTTCGGCTTACAGAGGTATTACAATTGATATCCCTTTTCTCCCTACAATCCATCTGAAATTGATTTAATGCTTGTTACCTCGGCACTCAACTATGCTAATTCCTACCTCTTGTGCTGATAGGAAAATGTTGGCAAGTATCGAGTGCTGTACACAGCTCGATTGTGTAACTCAGCGGAGAACTCAAAGTTTCCGGACAGCTTCGCAAACCTGCAAGTACCTAAACGGGCGCAGTTGAATGTTGGTAATGCCTGATTTATAAGTATTCATGACTGGGAGAGAAAGAAATTCACAAAATTGCATTTGACGTGCTTTTGTATATTATTACATGTGTATTACAGCTTTTGGATTGCTGTAACTAATTTTATTATGGAGTCTACTCAGAAGGACCTTTCTTTTGAGACAGTAGTTTTGTTTTTCTGGAGACATTAGCATCAATACTGATTAGCAATTTTTATCGTGGTGCTGTTTATTTATCATTTGTGGCCATAAATTCTGAATTTAATTCAGATTTTCTATTGACACTAGAATAATGTCAGTAATAACATTAACGGAGCATTAATTGGTTCAATTGTGTCGTGAATCTATGGTTCAAAGATGCTCGTCGTGACTCTGTGCCAACTATACTAGAACCTACATTGAACAATGTGTAACTATAGAACAAGCGCCCAATTAGTTTGTTGCAAAATTAGTTATTGAAAAGTTACAATTTGAAAATTAATACAAAACTTCATATATAACTGCTGGTAGTTACAAAGTGTTTGTAGGTTGTTAGTCAAGAATTATTGGGAAGTTACAGTGTTTTGTATGACTGTAATAAAATAGTTATTTGGGAAGTTACAGTTTGAAAATTAATACAAAACTTCATATTTGAAAACTGTTAGTTACGATGTGTTTGTACGTTGTTACAAAATAGTTTTGGGAAAGTTATAGTGTGTTCGTAGAATGTTATAGAATAGTTAGTTGGGAAGTTGCAGTTTGAAAATTAATATAAAACTCCATATTTGAAAACTGTTAATTACAAAGTGTTTGTAGGTTGTTACAAAATAGTTTTTTAAAAGTTACAGTGTGCTCGCTAAGTATTACAAAATAGTTAGTTGGAAAGTTGCAGTTTGAAAATTAATATAAAACTCCATATTTGAAAACTGTTAATTACAAAGTGTTTGTAGGTTGTTACAAAATATTTTTTTAAAAGTTACAATGTGCTCACTAAGTATTACAAAATAGTTAGTTGGAAAGTTGCTGTTTGAAAATTAATACAAAAGTCCATATTTGAAGTCTGTTGGTTACGAAGTGTTTGTAAATTGTTACAAAATAGTTATTGGGAAGTTACAGTATGTTCGAAAACCGTTACAAAACAGTTACTCGCAAGGGGATAGTTTGAAAATTTTTACAAAACTCCATATTTCAAAATTGTTAGTTACGAAGTATTTGTAGGTTGTTACAAAATAGTTATTGGGAAGTTGAATGTTATTAAAGACTATTACAAAATGCTTCAATGGGAAGTTAGAGTGTGAAAATTAATACAAAACTCCATGTTTGATGATTGCATGCTACAGTGTGCTTATAGGTTGTTACAAAATAGTTATTGTGACAAATGACGAATGGCATTCAAATAAAATAGTTTATTTGAACACACTCGAAAATGGCATGCATGTGTCGAATCGGGTCAGTAGTTTATTACATTTATTCAAAAAGTTTGATTATCAATTTATTTATTGGATTAGTGATACGTAAACCCAATTGTAACAGTCAATTACATGTTTTGGGTTTTGTGTATGTCTTAAAAAAACATGTTACTTATTCTATACTTACTAATTCTCCAGAATTTAGTTACTAGCTTATATCGTTTCTTGCCACAAATTAAACTTCGCCTGTAGGTACGTCCGTGTTAGCTCATGATCGACACACAACCATTAATTCAACAGAAGGTTAAAACACTAAAGCTTATGTGACCCAAAAGGAGTTTTAGATCGTTCAAATGTCTTCATCGAGCAATTTTGGTAGCGGATCTACTGAGTTAAGGTACCAATATCGGTACTGCCACTGCGGAAAAAGGGCTGGACTGAAGATCGTGGAGTCACAGAAACCAACGAAGGGGTTGCTGTACTTCTACTGTGAAGGAAAAACTTGTGCTTTTTTCGCTTGGTGTCATCCAATAGGGAGGAATCATGAGCAAGTTCAGGCTAACTACTGCCCTCCCTCACCGAATCGACAAGCAATAAGTAGAGAAAGCTCCTTCGACAGTCCCGGAACAGTGCAAAATGAACCAAACTCTTTCCCATATCATGTGCATCGAATCGAACAAGATATTCGACAAATGAAAACCTTCATGATGATATCGGTAGCGGTCGCCTTTCTGTTGATCCTAATAGCAATTTTTCGCTGACAGCACTTTCAATTTTTCGCCCCATGGGAGGGTATAAACTTCGCCTGTAGTTTGTCGGAGATGTATCCTTCATAGGCAAAGTTACACTGACATCCTTGTACTGTTGACTTTCCATTTTGGCAGGTGATCTAGAAGATAGAGTAAACAGTAGATCCAGTCGTATAGTTGTATGAAACTGGTGAAGTCACACTATTAGTTTTTTGTGGAGTTGTATGATTGCTCTTTTATCTGAAATCACCTGTGTTGTTCAATTGTTTTGTGTTAATGACTCCAACTAATTGAAACTATTAATTGTATAATGATGCACAAATGGTTACCTTAATTGTAAATTGTTACAATTCGTACGTTCTTACTTACAGCTTTGTTCGTCCTAAGTTACAACATTCAGTGAATTAGTTGTAAAATTGAAATTTAATAAAGCATCAGGAGCAGAAGGAGGTGCTTATTCAGGTACTATCACATTGTGGGTCATTGAATGACCAATGCCATTCAGTTTTACACATATGACTCTGGGCCAAAAAACTGACATTCATTGTGAGATTTTGTGCACAATATTTTGCGTATTACTGTGTATGCACAATGTCGAAATTAAGGTCACTAATGTGTAACTCAATATTCACATCGGTACCCTTAACATTGCAATACAGGTCTTACCATGATAAAAATTGCCCAATTGGTATTTTATTTTCTGATGCTGATTAGTGACACGACGTAACACTTATTATTTTATGTATCGATACTAAAAATATAGTTCAACAAATTTTGTCCATACGATTGACAAACTGTTCATATATTGTTACAATTCGTAAGTTATTATTTACCTCTTTGTTCGTTCTGAGTTACAACATACATAAAATTTCTGGTCGAATTTGAAATCTCCTATAGAGCATTGGAGCATAAGGAGGTACGAACCGCTCATAGAGGTAGTAAATTTGGGTCATACACCGACCAGGTTCATAGAGTGTTACACATCTGACTCTTGGCCAAGAAACTGTTGCATAATTTGGGCTGTCATACCTCCCTGTGACAGTGTAACTGTGCATGCACACAGTGAAATGTACATGAATCTAAGGTGTAACTCTGTATCCACGTGACTCTTAAAAGTTGATGGACAGGACCTAAACATGATAAAAGCTGCAAACATGTGTTGAAGTCTGTAAACGATTGGCAACAGCACGTAACACGTATATTCACTGTCGGTACAACAAATCTGGCCTGGAAACGTAACAAAACTTATCCGACATGGTTCAGGCACTGCATGTGGGTCTACAGTCTCTTCTCCCGTGATGTACTAATTGCCCTCATATGCGTTCGTGAAGATCTCACTATTTTAATGAGATGTTCGAGAAAGTCTCGCTACGCAATGTTTTGGGGTTCGAAACGATCATCGTAACTATTCTCAATAGATACTTAATAAAGTGTGTAAGAAATTTAATGTGTCAGTGGGAGGAATTATCGTTTCTACCAAGGGCAATAGCACAAACAAGAGAAGAGAAAAGGTTCATCGAATATTAACTAGTTGTGTTGTCACTAGTTGTAATATCGGGGAATATTTAGTTGGAATATTATTCAGTTTTAAATAGAGCAAACGAAAAGCTGCTGATTGCAAATTCATTAGTTATAATAAATTGTAACATACAACTAACTGGTTGTAAAGCAATCCGTACATAGTGAAACGTGCAGGTCACTGATGTGTAACTGTTTATCCACATGACCCTTAATATTGGTGTACAGGTTATTTCATGACAAAAGCTGCAAAATTTGTTTTATTGTGTGAACAGAGAACCACTACAATTCAATGGCATGCATCGAACTCTACAGCTTCAACTGCAACGACAAAATTGTTTGGCCTGGAATGCGTTGTCCAGTGATATTTTACCACATTGTGAGGGTCCTGCGGAGTATAAAAGGGGGCGGTTGCAGAAGTATATCCCTCAACAACAAAAATTTTTCTGTCCACCTTTCATTACTACACAAACATTTTCCATTTTCAATAACTTCACACTTCCCATTTCTTTCTATTGAAGGGTGACAATGAACCCGTGCATGAAATTTATCATTAGTATTTTCCAACCCTCCTCTAACCTCAATTGCAGTGTCATCAATAGAGGGTTCACACAGAAATCAAGTTCTTGGGTGCCAAATAGCAGCCAGTAGGTTGCATGATGTTCGAGAAGATCTCGCTAATTTAATGAGATGTTCGAGAAGGCCTCGCTACATCAATTGTTTTGGGGTTCGAATCGACCATCTCTATATTCTCAATAGACACTTACTAAAGTGTCTAAGAAATTTTATGTGTTAGAGGGGAGGACTTTTTGTTTGTGCCAAGTGCAATTGCACAAACGAGAGAAGAGGAAAAGTTCATCAGATATTAACTAGTTGTAGTATCACTAGTTGTAATATCAGAGAATTTCTAGTTGTAATATGAGTAGTTTTAACTAGATAAGACGAAAAACTGCCGATTGCAAATTCATTAGTTGTAATGAATTGTAACAAATACATAACTGGTTGTAACTCAACATGTACATAGAGTAATCAAAATTTGTTGCATTTTAAATATTAGTTACCCTACTTTCAAATTACTTGTCCCAATGAAGTATCATGTTCTTCTGCGAAATTGTTACTTATTATGTGGTCATGTGGAACCAAACCATATTTCAAATTGTAAGTTCATTTCTGTACTGAAAGAGTAATACCTATTGAAGTGCCTGTAATACTATCTGTAATACTTATCGTTAATATAATTGTAAACAAAGTGTCTAAATTTTAACATATAGGCAAATGACAAGGGGCCTGTACAAGCACATCAATAAGCGGTAACAGCTTATTAACGTCCTGTAACGTACATATGCTAGTGGCAACTTCTTGTTAC